AATTAGAAACCAATTGTTTTGGAGTGTCCTGCACTGCCTGGACTGCATTCTGTACGTGGCTACCGTTCAGTGAGTGAGAAAGGAAACCCCTGCCAATCCCCATCTGGGTGAGAAGATCCCTCCCCTTCCTAGTGAAGTGACTGGGCAGAAATTTCCTCTTCCTAGCTGGCAATGCTGGTAGAAGCTGGATTTCCACCAGCTTCAAAGCGAGCTCAGAGCATTCCTTTTTCTGTCTCACCCAACAGGCTGATGGAACATGTGGCCATTGTGCTGTGCTAGAAAGGGCTGCCCAAGGGTTGACAAACCACTGGGTTTGTTAGAGTTTCCTCCTTTCACTGGACAGGCAGCAGGCAGGCATTCCTCCTGATGTGTAGACTTATGGTGGGATCACCGTGGACCTGGGAAGAGTCCCACACCAGATGTTAAAATGTAGGCTTTGCTCCCTTCAGAGGAAGGCAGAGAGAAATTGTCAGGTGAATGACATTTCCCAAGACACAGAAAGGAAGGCTCTTGTTAACCTGAGTTGTAGTTCCAGAGCTTTCCAGCATATGAATTTATTCTCTACTTGCAACTAGTTTGAAGGAATAAAACTACATTGAAAAGTCCTCCAGTGCTAGATGGATTGCCTCCTCTGAGAGGAAACACAACCCTCACAGGGTGTGGATACGTCATTAGGCAGGAACAGTTCAAAACAAAATGGAAATCACTTCGCATTCACTGTAGGAAGCCCCAGTCCTTGAGAGCTACCCTGGAAGAAAAAGTTGCAGATTGAAGAGATTGTTGTAGTTGCAGATCACAGATCAACCTTCTGCAGTGGAGGAGTCCTAGCAGACACAACTTGTACTTAGAGTGACTATTGCCACTCATCCTGGGCAGAAAAGTGCTAGAAATTTGTTTGTGTTTCTGTGTAGGTCTCAGCTGCAGCACCTAGTTACAAAATTAGCAATAAAAGAGAAGGTTTTGTAGAAAAAACAGAAACAATGTCATTTTGAGTGGACTGTTCTTTCTAGTAATGTCTGTTTCTTTACAACCAACCTTGAGGGTGATATATACAGTTCCTCACATCCTGCTGGGAAAACACCTTCAGGAAAGAATGGATAAGGAAAAACACACGCTGCAGATGACCCAGGTCAGGCAGGGCTGGGCCACTTTAGACCCTCAAAATAAACTTGTCACTCTTTAATAACTGAACAGTAGGGCCAGTCCAGCTCGGGTGGCCAGCAGAATAGACGGGAAATAGACAGGACCAAGGAATGCATTGTAAGTGAAGATGGGTCATTTGTAATAGGAACCAGGAACCAGGAGGCTCATATCAGAGAAGGGGGCGGGGGGAGAAAGAACTGACTTGTGAGTGGGTGCGCACAGTAGGGCAAAAGAGATCCCAGAAAATCGTGGCCACACTGTGAGAATGTGGGACGAGATGCTTCACCAGAAGAACAGGACACTTCTTTGAAAAACAGTAATCACTGGTGGCAGAGAGGTGGCCGCAGAGTGTCCCCACTTCAGCAGGCAGGATGAGTGACACCAATACAGAGAGGGCACAGGAATCCAGAGAGGTCCTCCTGTGGCCCTCAGCAGCTGGATGAGGAGAAATTAGAGACCACAGGCAAGCACACCTGGGCCCACATAGACAGTAGATCCCCTCTGAGATGCTCACAGCCTATGGAGAGAATCTTGTACATGCCCAAGTTAAAGTGTAAAGAATTTACCTATTCGTTTGTTTGTTTGTTTGTTTCCTTCTCAGTTACTTTATTTTTTAATTTGTGTATCAGTTTCTTTTGGTTATTTTTCAAATAACCCCAGCCACCCATCTGTGCCTCAATTTTGATGTAGGGGTAAGGCAGTGGGTCTCAACCCTGGCTGCCCACTACAGGTACCTAGGAAGCTTTTAAAAACACTGATATTCAAGCTCTGCCGCCAACCATAGCTTGTTGGTCTGGGATGAGGCCCGGGTACCAGTGTTCTTTTAAGATCTTCTAGGTGACTTTAACCCGCAGCTAGGATTGAGTTGCTAGGGAAGGTGTTACTCTTAGCTGAATCTTTAAGGAGAGCATTCATATAATAAAGTTAAGGCTTCTCAGATGCTGGCAAGGATGTGGAGAAAAAGGAACGCTTCTACACTGCTGGTGAGAATACAAACTAGTGCAACCTCTTTGGAAGACAGTGTTACGATTTCTGAAAGAACTAGAAATTGACTTTCCATATGACCCAGCAATTCCCCTATTGGGAATATACCCAGAAGAACTCAAATCATTCTACAAAAAAAAATACCTGCACACATATGTTTGTTGCGGATCTATTCACAATAGCAAAAACATGGAACCAACCATACTGCCCATCGAAGCTGGACTGGCTTTTAAAAATGTGGCACATATATACAAGGGAGTATTATGCAGCCATAAAGAAGGACAAACATATGGACTTCGCAGCAACTTGGATGGATTTAGAGCCAATCATACTCAGTGATCTATCACAGAAACAAAGAACAGAGTACCATGTGTTCTCACTCATAAGTGGACCTTGAATAATTATCATAATAAGAAAGGGATTGGCAGTTGAGGGAAACTGCCAGGGGAGGGAGGGGCATACCTCATCAACAAGGATACCTGTATAATCAACGTTTGTATGCCTAACCCTGAATTGTACCCCACATCTTTAAAATAAAAAATAAAAATAAATAAAGTTAGAGCTTCTGAAAATTTGAATGTGTACATGAATATTTGGGGGATCTTGTTAAAATGTGGATTATGATTCTGTACATCTGGGGTGGGCCCTGAGTTAGGCCAACCTGTTCTGCCAGTGCTCCTGCCAGCTCCCTGCTGAACAACTCTGGCTCCTCAAAGTCCAGCTTTCCCTAAGGCTCTGCTCAAATGCCAGCTCTTGCTAGCTCTTAGCAGTCCTGTCATCCTCCACACTGGAATTAATTTCTCCCCATCCTATTCTCTGGGTGCCCTTGGCTGTAACTCCTTTAAAACACGAATTATTATAATCTACCATTCTTTTCAGTTATGTATGTTCTGCTGGTAGTTTCTGCCATGGGATCATGAGACCCTGGAGCAGGAAAACACATCTTATTCATCTTGATGTTACCCATAACACCTGGGATCACACTTTACAAAGAGTAGAGAGAATCTGGAAGTATTTATTGAATTGAATATGGAGACCTCTATTATAGGTCTCATCTTCTACTTGAAAGTTATTTTTTTTAAGTTGGGGGGAACCAACCTGTCATACTGCAAGGATACACACAGAAAGGCAGCTTGGTTTTGAAATGAGGTGGAGTGACCAGTGACACTGACTGACAGAACTTTATCTGTGCAATGAGCACCACAGAAAGAGAAGTTAAATAACGACTGTCCCAATCCCCAGTGCTCACAGGCCATTAAAGCAAGTTGCTACAACCTGCACCCAATTAACTTTGTGCACAAGCACAGATGCAGTGCAGCAAATACAAACAACAAAAATCCCAGATTAATTTCAGGAAAGTTCCAGAGCTGCTCTGGCCACTACCCAAGAACTACTTGGACTCCATTTGAAAGAGAGGGACATCTCTTGGGTGCCAAGCTTCTTGGTTTAGGAGAACCGTGAGAAAAACAAGTGGTATGAAGTTCAGTTCTGCTTCCAATTCCTTTGACCCTGACCCAAAAAGAGCCCAAATCATAACAAAAAAGGGGGGATGGGGTGTAAGGAGAGAGAACAGCCTCATGCCTCATCTTCAGATAACTTGCACACAGGTTTTTAGACTCACAGGCACAGCCGATGGATCTGAAGAGATCAGTGACTTCTAGATGCCCAGTCTGACTCCTGAATGTCTTTGTAAGTTATCCAATGCGGTGAGGTTATGAGGAAAGAGAACAAACCACTTGGAGAACACTTTTGAAAAGACTGGTTGGCCAGGCACGGTGGCTCGAGCCTGTAACCCCAGCACTTTGGGAGGGCGAGGTGAGGAGATTACCTGGACCCACGGGTTCAAGAATGGCCTGGGAATTTGGCAAGACCTCATCTTTACAATAAATCAAAAAATTAGCCAGGCGTGGTAGCACATGCCTGTAGTTCTGGCTACTTGGGAGGCTGAGTCAGAAGGATCGCCTGAGCCCTGCAGGTCGACACTGGGGTAGCCATGAGCATACCACTGCACTCCTGCCTGAGCGATGGGGTGAGACTCCAACTCAAAGAAGGAAAAAGACTGGTTTGTTGTAAGTACTTATGTAAGGTTCCTGCTACCCTGGTCATGACTGAACAATGTTCAAATCAACTAAGTGAACAACATAGTCGTTGCCAAAATTTAACGCAGCCCTCCTCCTTCTCCCTAGTCTTCCTCTAAATGATACATCACCTTCTTTCTACTTGTAGGCTCTGCTTCTGCTCCACCGAGCCCCAATTCAATAGTGTTTCATTCAAAATCAAGTCAACAGCTATTAATGACTATGAATGGAGCATCTTATGTTGTACTAAGAGGTTTCAAAACCCCACATCCAAAAAGTTGGTCAAGTGAATGACTGACAGAACTTTATCTGTGCAATGAGCACCACAGAAAGAGAAGTTAGATAACGACTGCCCCAATCCCCAGTGCTCACTGGCCATTAAAGCAAGTTGCTACAACCTGTACCCAATTAACTTTGTGCACAAGCACAGATGCAGTGCAGCAAATACAAACAACAAAAATCCCAGATTAATTTCAGGAAAGCTCCAGAGCTGCTTGGAAGGCTGAGTCAGAAGGTGTAGGCTGCAGTGGCCATGAGCATGCCACTGCACTCCAGCCTAGGTGACAGAGTGAGATTAAGTAATATAAAAATAGTAGGGATGTATGGATCCAGCTAGTACCTAATTAATATACTTTGGATCCAATTAGAAACAAGTATAAGAGGAAGGGCATTTTTCATTGCTTCCACCTCTCTAATTATTTAGACTCCATACTAAAAGCTACAAAGTAAAACATCTAGAATTTCATTTGAGCAATAGATGGTGCAAACAACAAACGATCAGAGTGAGACTCGTACCTGGTCCTGGGGGCCCTCTCATTCCTGGGAGCCCCATGGCTCCTTCTGGTCCTCTCGGGCCTGGCACCCCGGGAAGCCCCGGGATTCGAGGACAGTCTTCCACATCTGCAGGTGGCCCAGGTTCACCTGAAATTGGAATCACCACTTGTGTGATAGATTCACACGCTTATGAACCAAGCTCCTTTGACATTCTCTGGTTAAAGATGAACTTCTGACACTTTACTGAAATGTTAACAAAAGGTTCAACAACCCAGTGTAAGCTCCATGAAGGTAGGAACTTGCCTTGTTCCCCATAGGTTATGTGAAAAACTTCCATAAAGCATTTGCTGGATAGAATGAATGATTGAATGAGCGAATGAAACATCTGAGGAAGCAAATGTGTGAAATAGTGAAAGTTGGATGCGATAGCAATAATCTAATGGCCGGCCAGGCTCAGTGGCTCAGCCTGTAATCCCAGCACTTTGGGAGGCTGAAGCAAGTGGATTGCCTGAGCCCACAGGTTTGAGACCAGCCTGGGCAACTTGGCGAGACCTCGTCTCTACAATAAATCAAAAATGAGTCAGGCATGGTAGCACACGCCTGTAGTTCCATCTACTTGGAAGTCTGAGGTGGAAGAATGGCCAGAGCCCAGCAGGTGTAGGCTGCGGCGGCCGTGAGCTGCCACTGCACTCCAGCCTGGGTGACAGAGTGAGACTCCAATTAAAAAAAAAAAGATAATAATCATCATCATCAACAATGACCTCCACAATTTTCCCAATCTTGGACCATTTTTTAAAATATGGGTGCTAGCCACAGGGGGCATTATAAGAGAGATTGGTGGGTTCCTCAAGCTCTGCTTAATGTATCCGAGTCATTACCCTGCAGCCAGGTAGGTTTCCATGGTGTTAGTTACTCAGAAAAAATTTCAGAATTGCTAGAGGCTCTAAAGCAGTGACTTTCAAACTTGAGTGAACACTGAACTTACCCAGGGGAGTTATAAAAATATATTGATGCCTGCGTCCCACCCCCAGAAATACCAATTTACTTGATAACACAATGTGGCCTGGGCAGTGCCCTCAGTGGGCTGCACAATGAACCCAGCTGGGGAGTTTTTAAAAAGTACTAATGCTAGAACCTCACCTGGACTTAGGAAATAGGAATTTCTGGCAGGGGACCCAGACATCAGTTGTTGTTGTTGTTGTTTTTTTTTTAATTCCTCAGGTGATTCCAGCTGAGAAGCACAGCTATTAAGCTGTAGTTCTGACTTTAGCACATCAGAATCATCTGTCCAGTTTGTTACAAACCTGAGTAGAGGTCTGCAGTGGAACCTTACATGCACATTTCTAACATGTTCCTGGGTGAGCCAGTAGTGTTGATCAAAGGATTTTTTTATTTGAGAACCATTATGCGAATGGTTTAACATTTTTTCTTCTTCTTTGTTCCCTTCATATCTTTTTTTTTTTTTTTTTTTGAGTTGGAGTCTCACTCTGTTGCCCAGGCTGGAATGCAGTGGCACGCTCAGGGCCGCCCCAGCTTCAACCTGTTGGGCTCTGGTAATCCTTCTGCCTCAGCTTTCCAAGTGCCGTAACTACAAGCACACACTACCGTGCCTGGCTAATTTTTTATTTATTGTAGAGATGAGATCTCGCCAATTTCCCCGTGCTGGTCTCAAACCCACGGGCTCAGGCAATCCACTTGCCCTGGCCTCTCAAAGTGCTGGGTTTACAGGCTGAGCCATCGAGCCCATCCATATCTTTAAGATGCTTTTCTAAAGCTTCATTCACAAAAAATGAGAAATAATAACACTGAGCAGTAATGATAATGGCTAACATTCACTCACTGCTTTATCATGTATCAGGTCCTGTGCTAAGTGCTTTACTACTAAATCCTCCCAACACGACTGTGTATGTGCTACTGCCAAGGACAATGTTGCAGATAAGAACACTCAGGCTCAGGTAAATAGTGACATATCCATGGTGACACAGCTAACACATGGGAGAGTCCAGATTAAAATCCAGGATATTTTGGCTCCAAACCCCATGCTTGTAACCACTGCATTAAACTGCCTCAAGAACTCTTAAAATCTGGGTGATGAATTCTAAGAAATAAAACATATTTTAAAGTATAACTTTTGATCAGTTATGGTTTCCTTCACATATATCCAAATGTGCGAAATAATTTTAAGAACAGCAATGATAAAGCACCAAGAAAATCCTAGAAAAATGTGGCTATCACAACAAAGTTTTTTAGTCTACAAATATTTAATAGGCCTGTGCAAAATCTATAAGCTGTTTGGAATTGAACCCCTTGTAAAACATGGTATGAAACCACAAGTAACACAGGACCAGATGTGTTTTTACGGAATGTACAATTTAATGTATAACTTGGCTTTTCCACCAAAGGTGACTTGAGAGAGGTGCCTGAGAACATTTCCTATTTTCCCTGAATAATCTGGGCCTTTCCCAGTGGTGTTGGAGTGGGGGATGTGGGGACACATGGCTGGTACTTCGTATTTAGAATTTTTATATTATCCTCAAGTGAATTTATTTATACGATCACAGAGATGATTGAAGTTAAAACTTTAAATATACAACTTTCATTTTAAAATATAAACATTGAAGATAGGATTTTTAAAATTTTTGATTTTGCTTTTTTTTTTTTTTTTTTACTTTTTAATAAACCTGAAGCTGAAAGACAGGACTGAAACCCCTCTTCTAAAGACCCTACATATAATAAATGATGTCTGTATTTAGGTTTATTTTCATTAGGGATTATATTCATTCATCAGGGCAAATATTCACAATTTTTTTTCTTTTGAGAAATGCCTTTTTATTTTCTTTGAAAATGCCAATCACAAAATAATATGCTGTTTTTGCACTGCAGACTATTAAGTGAACATTTTCTCTTAAACCCACAAAGAAATGTGTTCCTTGAAAATGGGCTTAAGGGTGTGATAGGGAAGGCTTGTCACTGGGTGTGAGGGCCCATCATTTAATGTTGTTGATACTACTTATTTTACGGATGTTCTATGTATTTATATTGTAGGATTTATAAAAAGGACTTACACTGGTACGTACCATAGCCTTTAACAAACAAAGCCCTTATACTTCGTGCCTGAATTGAAATTATAAAAGCTGAGTATCTACAGCACCTTGACAACCTATAATGAGGCTCAGTGTCAGGACTCTCTAATATGAGGTTACTATATCTGTAACGATGAAGCAAAGGCATTACAACCCAATATAATTACAGCACCCCATCTATAAAAATGTAACAAAGTTTAACTCACAGAATATAGTGTAAAAGATAAGCACAGAAATTACTAAAAGCCAAATTTAGGGGAAATTACCAATTTTATAGCAGAGCTTACCTCTGGAGCCTGGAGAGATCCAAAGCCAAAAAGTGAAGCCATGCAATGATTTTCACGTGGTAGAAAGAGATTTTAGATTTGTGGATTAGGAAAAAAAATGAAATAGATTGAGAATATACATAATAATTGGGGACCTCATCAATGACAAGCAGAATGACAGCATCTTATTTACATAAAAAGTCCACATCAGTATGACTGACAGGAACAGCTAAGATTCAATAATGGAGTTTTCATCTCTAGAAAGATTTGAAATGAAACTCTCTTGAGCAATATAAAATTCTAGTTGGTTTCCTATGGCAAATATGCCTTAATTTTATGCATATAGGGAATTCTAACCATTTAAAGGCTTCTGAAAATTCCATATTAATTTGCCAAGCTTTACAGGTTATGCACAGAAAGGAAATATAAAAAGAATCCAAGTATAAGTCCTTTTTCCTGTTGTACTGTGCTATTTCCTTATTCTTTGGACTAGAGTGCTAATTTAGAAGACAGCAAAATATTCTGAACTGATGTCACATTACCATAATATTGATTTAGGATTTTGAAAGATTTATTTCTGCCAATCTCAAATGTACATGTCTGTTTGTCCTTTTACTCCCCAATCTCAAATGTACATGTCTGTTTGTCCTTTTACTCCCCAACTCCTTCTTTGTTTATTTTGACCCTATGATTAGAAAGTGTTGTCTATAGCCAGAGTTGGGCGGGGGGCACATAGCATCAGTAAGAGTACCTGATCTCAAACCAGGCAAAGTGGGGACCAAAGGGAGGCCCAAACTTTACCTGTACGATGTCCACTTGTATACATAATCCTGAATTGTACCTCACATCTTTAAAATTATATAAATATTATGTTATTAATATATATTAAAATTATATATATTTATATATATATATAAAGAAAGTGTTGTCTATAGAGTTAAATTGAATAACTTTTCACCTTCATAGGAACTAATGTACTTTACAGATAAGTTAAACATCTAGAAAAGTCAGTGGAAGTTCAGGGATGTGCACCATGTATACAATCCTAACACACAATGATCAAATCAGTCTTTGCCTCTTGTATGAAGAAACATATATTTATTTCCCTTAGAAATAGTATATGTAAAATCAACTCCTAATTTTCAAACTTACTCATTCTGATCATAAATATTAGTTTGCCAAACATGAGACGTTGTAGTACAGCATTAAAGAAATATACTTTTTCTATCAGAAACATACTCTTTCTATCAGTCATAAGAATGTGCTAGTAATTTTAGAATTTTTGAAAGCTGACCATCATAGTAAATGTTCAAACAGAATACTGTATATAGTTTGCTTAGTGAGATGAACATGCATTAGAAGCCCACCTGGAGGGCCAGTGGGCCCTTTTCTGCCTGGAGGTCCAGGTAAACCCTTCTCTCCAGGTGGCCCAGGAAATCCATGTGGCCCCTGTGGTCCTGGGAATCCCATTGGTCCTAAAGGAAACATATAAAATGAGGGCACTGGAATGACAGTTTGGTTTACAGAATTCAGAGACTCACTCCAACAAAATGCAGGGCAACGCTAGCCTGAGTCAAGATTAGCCTCATTTTCTTCTGTAAGGCGGAGAAGGGCTGCCTCTGTCTGAAGAAAACCTACAGATCAGTCTAAAGGACTAAGGAAAATGGTCTCATCATCAAGACAAAATTAGAGTGAAAAGCCCTGAAATCCTGAACTTTTTCTGGTGACAAAGAACTGGAACTGAAGGGAAAATAAAGAAAGAAGCATTGATCTCTGGGAGAAACATGCCTCCGCAGCCTAAGTTCATACCCCAGCCTGAGTTCATACTTGGTTTCAGACACAACAACCCAGTTTCTCATACATACTGTTCCTTCTTTTCTTCCTTATCCATTAAGTCCTCCTCATTAGAGTTCCAACCAAGTCTCACTTCCTCAAGGAAGCCCTCCCTGGAATCCCAGCCAAAGTCCATTGCTTGTTGATAAACTTTTCATTCAGAGCACTTAGCTCAGTTTCTATTGATGAATCCCTTAATGTGCATATCTGTCTCCCTCCATGAAACTCTACTTAATAAGAGTGAGGACTCACTATATTCCTATAGGTGCCTAATAAATGTTTATAAAATAGATTATTTCTCACTGTGTAAGTCATAAAGAATAAACTGAGGAGACTCTCACTCTTTTTATAGTAAAGCACTGTTTGGCCCTTACATTCTCTGGGATGGGAGTTAACAAGCATGATTAGTGGTTTCACTGACATTTCTGACTCCCTGTATATACTTGGGTAAATCACTTCTATCTATATGGCATGGTATTTCCCAAGCCCTGAAGCTTATGTCCAGGTAGAGAATCATTCTCTAGAGTAACAATTTGGGAGAAGGAGTGTTAGCCAACCCCTTCCTCCTTCCTCTGGGTGACAAGAGTGTTAGCATGTCTGTTCAATTCTGAGGTTCAATAGTTGGAAGGCCACTTACCTGTAGATATAAACCATGGTCTCCAAAATTTATTTTATTGCTAATAAAGGTTAAGAGGATTGCTTCATACTGTTGTAGAGGCTGTACACTGCACAGTTCTACAGATGCCATCTGCACTGTAGTCTTGGCAGCCTTGCGGCAATTTTTATCTCTCCTGTACCCTAATCTTTTGTCTTATTTCACATTTGGTTCAGAAGTGAGACAGGGTACTAGTTATTGTGCTCCTTTTGCAAATTTCAACAATTACTTGTCTGATATCCAGCTTCTTTATTTATGAAATAAAGGAGTTAAAAATGAATAATCATAATTGGTTCTTTTCATCAAAAAAGTTATTTAACCTACTAACTCTCTGAAATTCTGGTGACCAAAAATTGAAGTCCCCAAATATTAGCAATTGGTTAAAAAATAATCAAAATAAATATTGACACTTTAAATAGTGGGGAAATTCAGTAATGGCATGAATATAAAAAAGTAAACTCAGCAGTCTAAAACGGAGCCATCCAATAAAGAAACTACTAACCACATGTGGCTGAGTTGTACTGCAAGTGTAGAATCCACATTGGATTTCAAAGACAGGAAGGAGGATGGGCTATTGGGAGAGAAACTAGGTTTTCACCTTCAGTTCAATTGTTTCACTGATAAATTTATATTGACCATTAGTTAAAATAATATTTGAATATATTTTGTTAAATGAAATAAAGTATGAAAGTTAACCTCACAAGTTTCTTTTTACTTTTAAAAATGAGACTACTTTATCTTTAATTTGCACATGTGGCTTGCATCATATTTCTATTGTTCAGTTCTGGTCTGGAAGATTATCAAGAGTATTATTAGGGGCTAACTTGTTTCTTCCTTTTACTTGTCTAACTTTTTACCGAAGTTTTACCCAAACTCAGGAAAATAAGGACATTTTGGAAATGTAGTTACTGTTTGCATAGGAAATAGAGGTAAAATAGCAAAACCTCTCACTTAAAGGTAAGATAACGAAAGGTAAGACCCTCAAAGGTAAGATAATAAAACTTCCCACATACTAAAACTTGCTTTCATACCTTTCTGGCCATCTTTTCCATCACAGCCTGGGAAGCCTTTGTACCCTGGAGGGCCTGGTAGGCCTGGAGGACCTGGTGGCCCTGGAAGACCACAGTCACCTGGCTCCCCTTGCAGAAGGTCAACACTCCCAGGGGGGCCTGGAGGCCCAGTTGCTCCTGACCACAGGGAGAAGGTAAAAATATTCTTTCAGTCAAAGACAAATGGGTGTGCCACCTGCTTAAGAGCTTAAGATAAACAATTTAACAATTTTCAAGCAGGAAATAAAGGAAATTAAAGAATAAGAATGTCAGTAGTATCAGGAGTGAAATAGAGTGGGTCACATGGAGCTCAAGTGGGTAGAACTGTTAGACAGAATGAGCCTAAGAAAAACTTTCCTTCCCTTCAGAGCCATTCCTTTTGAAAATATCGTTATGGTTTTTGTTTGCATTGCCATTTCTCTAGTTTAATAAGATGAATAGTGGATGGATGGATGGATGGATGGAGGGACGGACGGACGAACGGACAGAGAGATGGACAGGCAGATAAATGCATGGACAAAAATATGGAGATGGATGGATGGTTGGATGGATAGATGTACAGAAGATGGATGGATGGACAGATGAATAGATGGATGGATGGACGGATGGACAAATGGACAGATAGATTGGCTTTTGAGGAATTATGACTTATGGGAAAGGAATGTTCACTCAATTAAATTTATAATCCTATTTGAAAATAAGTGTCTACAAATAAAAATGAATTGATCCCATTTCTTTTCCTACTTAGCTTCTACGCTTATTCAAGCAAGAAATAAAGGAAATTGAAGAATAAGAATATCAGTAGTATCAGAAGTGAAAGAGTGGGTCACATGGAGCTCAAGCGGGTAGTAACTGTATTTTTGACTGCTTTTATTTTTTCCATGTACAATCCCTAAAATCCTAAAGATTCAAAGATGGTGGACTTGTGTCTCTATAGAAGAGTTCTAAGAGCTTATATGAACTCAGTTGTCTGCATTTAGCAAGACATCACACTGAGCTGCTCTTTTTTTCCCCACTCCCAACTTTGCTGTAGTCTGATCCTATTTGGTCAATTCAGAAATGATTTCCACCATTGTGCCTTGCCAGAGTTGATCCTATGAAGTGGTAAGAGGAACAACATACACTGTCAGCAACACATGAAGAGACTGATTCTTGTGTATGACGCTTGGGTCTTGTCACTCTGGGCCAGTCACAGTGGTTTATATGACGGCTGCTACAGACCAACAGGGAGGCTGTGATTCCTTCCCGTTACCTTTTTCTGGAGACTTATGGTCAGTATCAAGCTGGTGATAGGAAATGTTTACTTATCAGAGTGTGTACCCTAGAGAAGTGGTCTAATAGAATGGAAAGAGAAGAGTGAGAGGGTCTAAGTTCTGGTCCTGGATATGGTCCTGAGAGCCTACCACTACCCACATTCCCATCCCAACTGGGTCTCACTTATCCATCTGACAAGTTGATGGGGCTGCTTAAGGACTTCTATTCTGCTACTCTCTGGTCCTACAGAGCTGGCAGCATCTAACAAAGGGAGCATCACCATCCTTTGCCATGATTTTCTCATACCTCTTGGGCCATCAGGGCCAGGAGGTCCCTGATCTCCAGGTAGACCCGGGTGAAGTCTGTCACCCTTAGGAGCTCTTCCTGTAGAACCTGCAGGACCAGGTGGTCCTGGTCTTCCTGAAAAGGGACATGTTCAGATGTTAACCTTATTACATTTGGAAGGTTTTGATTTAGTTATTGAAAGATAGTCAAAGCATGCTGCTTCTTACCTGGAGGTCCCAGGGGACCTTTTTCTCCAGAAAGACCTGGAGGAGAGATTCCTGGGCTTCCAGGGTCTCCTGTCTCCCCTTTTAGCCCAGGTATTCCCACTGGACCAGGTGGACCCATATCGTGCAAACCTTAATGGGGAAATCAGAATTAATACTGTATCTTCTCTTCATTTGTCTCTGTTATAGGACCTGGAAAGGAACTGCTTCCTAATAGTTGCAAGGAGGCGGCTGTTCTGCAGAGACCAACTACTGACTGCTATGGTAACCCAAACAACTGCATACTATTCCTGGGCTGCCATTCCTCTTAGGACCCATCACACTGGTAAACCATAGGTTTGGCTTCTTTTATGATTATTTCCCACATTAAAAAAAAAAAACAGAGACAACACCAACCCTCCAACCTTTACAATGTATAAAGTGAAAACAAATAAGATACAACAATAAATAATTATGAATAAACTGCTTTGAAATGTGAGGTGGAAACTGGCATAATTGGAGCTATTGTGAAATGTAATACTGAGAACAAAGAACATCAGTGGTTTCTTGGAAGTCACACACATTTAATCAGACTTTTTGGAAGAGCCACTAAATGAATCCTAAGTGACCGAAATTACTTCTTAATCTTCCAAACTATAAAGACTTTGTCTCTCTCCAACAATAGAGTCAAACTTAGCAGCACAATTCAACCTGTTCCCCATGGTCACTCAAATTTGCATGTTGGGGTCCAGCTACTTTGATCATAGTGATTTTTCTGAGAAGTAACACAACAAATTTACATTATATTAACAGAACAGGCTAAAATGCAGTTGTTGAAGATTAACCTATTTGTGATCTCAAAAATGACAGCAAATTGTTCGGGTAATTTGTTTTAGCAGTGGCTGTAAAATAATGCTATAAGAACTAATTAGACCCATGCGGTTGTACATGGTATTTCTACACTTAACACTTTACAAAACAATTTAAAAATCCAACCATTTGTGATAATGTTTTGAAATTTGGCTCCATTTAAGCAATGACTTAGAGTATCCTTAGTAGAGAGTCACAAACAATACCAACAAAAGTCACTATTAACCAACCATTCCTTCTTAAATAGGGTTTTCTCAACTATTTTTTTTTTTTTTAATATATCATTGTCAGCACTACAAATCATTCCAATACTGTGCCTCTAGCCTCTAGATTTTTAGTTTCACCACCAAATCTCGAGAAGTATGGAAATACCAGACGAGGGTACTACCTTATCTCATGAACCATTAATTGAACCTTAGTTTCTTGCGAATAGTTTCATCTTACCTGAAGCACCTTTGGTTCCTTTCTGACCCTTCAAACCATGCAGGCCGTTCAGGCCGGGCAACCCGGAAGGACCTGAAATACAAACCACAGGCCTGTGACCCCAAGGGAAAACTAGCCACTGGTACTCACTCTGACCACAACCCTCAGGAAGTGCCCAGTAGAGGGTGTGTTGATGTGGAAGGCATATGGATCTAATTGTCTGAACAGCATTATCAGGGTGAGAACCCAGGTCCAGAATTATTTAACACCTTATAAGGTTTCCTACCGAGACAGTTCAACACAGATGCTTCTTCAGTTTTAAAGTACTGCTGTTGATATATGACCAGAGATGGTCTAGAATTACTGAATCTTGGCATAGAAAGTGACCTTTGATTTTTTTTTTTTTTTTTGACAATAAAATCTTCCTAGATGAGAAAAGAGATTGACTGGGAGTAAATCCAGGCCTCCTACCTCCCAGGCTTGGGGTCTTTGTACTCCGCCAGGGTCTGCAGGCTTAATTTCTTCAGGATCAAGTCATGGAGATACAGTTAGACAGAAGGAAATTTGGTGCCCATGGCCGGCTGGGGATACTCGCCCTGCCTAATTTTAATATAGGCTGTGTGCCGCTTAGGAGCAGAGGCCTATAGGGCAAGTGTGGCTGCAGCTAGTGCTTGGCAACCACTTCTTCCAGAACCATTTTGATGCCTTTTCACAGAACCTGATTTATTTCGTGATGATCACTGGAAACTCTGATTTTTGTAATCAGGCATTATCCCACTGATGCCCACTGATTTTTGTAATCAGGCATTATCCCACTGTGTGCCTTCTCTGCAAACCGTCTGTCAGATCAACAGTTTAGTTCTCTAAAGAGACACCCACCAGCCTTGCTTTACTTGTCACTGAATACTTCGAATGGAAATTTTTCCTTAAGAGTATTCATCAACACATTTTGAGTTGTGTTTAACTTGTCCAAATGAGACTCTTTTTCAAACGACAGTTTCCTAATTGCCCAGCAGGTTGAAGGAGAGAGGAGGGTAGCAGGCAGGTAAGGAATATTTACAGAGCATCTCCTGAGCCCTGAGATCTAACTAGGTGCCTTCCCACATACCCTGGACCACTGATTAATGTGGGAAATGAAGCTTCTTCTCCACCTCCGGCAAAGTCTGGTGTTGGTGTATGTTCCATCCAGTAGCTGTTCTTTCTCATTTAAGACTGAGAGCCTCTTGGTACTGAGCCAGCCACTCAGTTTAGAGTCATATCTCTCAGATTTGGGGTAATAGCACCCTTGGTTTATATGACTGAACACACAGTGCCCCTCACCTATCTCCATGAGACCTACTATGTAGGGCTCCTTTGATCATGTTTGGCTGTCTCACACTGTACACAATCATGTCTTTGGTTGACTGTCTCTCCCTCCCAAGGGTAAATCCAACTTCAAGAATAGGTCCTAATCTTTCTGTCCCCACATTGAGCATATTTCCTAGTAGTTGTTCAATAAGTGTTTGTTGAATGAGTGAGTAAATGAGTGTGTGAGAAAATGTGGAACGAGAAGAGTAAGGGAGAAAACTATAAGAAGGAGCAAGTTATACTTGCTACTTGTATGCCACATCTTTCCTTGATAGAGTTATAGGACAAATATAATTTAAAGAAGTTAGAGGTATCTATTTGCATATAAATAATACAAGTGCTAATTATTACCTATTCATTAAAGTAAGTCCTCTATGGACTTCTTATTAGAAGATGGTAGAGTTTCATCTCTCCATTCTACTTATCATCAGGACTAGAAGCAGTCATTATTCTCTTCTTAAGATCTTAATTTGTTGGGGTGTATGGAAGGTCGATTTTTAGATCTTTTAGGAATTGCCACACTGTTTGAACTAGTTTACAACCCCACCAACAGTATAGAAGTGTTCCCTTTTCCCCTCATCCTCTCTAGCATATGTTGTTTTTTGAGTTATTGATGATGGCCATCCTGACTGGAGTTAGGTGGTATCTCAGTGTGGTTTTCATTTGCATTTCTTCGATGATTAGTGAGGTTGAGCATTTTTTCATGTATCTGTTAAGTGCTCATATGTCTTCATTTGAAAAGTATCTATTCATATCTTTTGCCCACTTTTTAATAGAGCTGTTTTTTTTCTTTTCAGCATGTTTGAGTTCATTGTAGGTCCTAGATGCTAAGCCTTTGTCAGACATACAGTTGGCAAATGTTTTTCCCCTATTCTGTGGGCTGTCTCCCTGTTCTCTTGATGGTTTATTTTGCTTTGCAGAGGCTTTTTAGTTTGATGAGGTCTATCTTATCTCTTATAGCATGTGCATTTGGGGTTTTGATCAAGAATTGGTTGCCTATTCCAGTTTCCATAAGGGTGTCTCCCTGCACTTTCTAAGATTCTTATAGTTTGAAGCTTTATGTTTAGGTCTTTGATCTAGCAATCCCTTTGCTGGGAATATACCCAGAGGAACTGAAATCATTCTATAAAAAAGATACCTGCATATTGCAGATTTATTCACAATAGCAAAAACATGGAACCAACCATGCTGCCCATCGAAAGTAGACTGGATAAAAAAAATGTGGTACATATACATGATGGAATATTATGCAGTCATAAAGAAGGACAACATTATAGACTTCGTGGCATCCTGGGTGGACTTAGAGTCTATAATACTCAGTGATCTATCACAGAAACAAAGAACTGAGTACCACATATTCTCACTCATAAGTGGACCCTAAACATTTACTATAATACTATAAGAAAGGAATTGGCAGTAGTGGGAAACTTCCAGGGGAGGAAGAGGGGCCACGCAATATCAATAAGGGTATCTGATCTCAGACCAAGTGAAGTGGGAACAAGGAAAGGCCCAAACTCTACCTGTATAATACCTAATCCTGAATTTACCCAATACCTTTAAAATAAAATAAAATATAAAAAATGAACTGTATTCTCTTGCACCTCCCCCCAGCCACCCCCAAAAGGAATGCATTCTTATTTTCACTAAATTTCTTATTTCCAAACCTCTTTTTAACAGCCTTGGCTTACTTTCCAATTCTCTTTCTTATTTTATGAGCCAATGTTTCAAGTTTGCACCAAAAGAACACACAGAACTTGTTCATCTGCCAAATCTGGATATTTATTGTATCCTATCTGAAATGACAATAAATTTGGGGGAGACCACTTTGCTATTTCCCCGTGTTTTGATCTCCAGTCTTAGTCACCAAGATTGATGGCTTGGGGGACTTGGCTGGGATGGAATGTCCCTGCTTCTGCCAACTCTCCATTGTCACATCAACACATCCAGATCCTGGATTGTCACAGTCCCAGCCTCTTGCCATTGTTGAACTGGCCGACCCTTATCTGACCCAATGCTATCTTTCTAAATTGAATGCAGCTACATCTGAGTAGGGTTTTAAGGGTAATTTTTCCTTTTTACTGAAAGCTTTTTATCAATCCCATCTCTAAATCAGAAAGTTGTTCATGCATAAAATATATACGGTGCAGATGAGAGGCAATTAGGCTAACAAAGCACATTTCTGGGTAATGAGGAATTTTTATTCACCTCTCTGTTCGTCCTCCTGCTTAACAACCATCATTTAAGGCTGCAGAATGCTGCACTTGTGGACCGAGGTGCTCTCTCCCTCTAGTCAGTGCATCTCATCTCCACTCCAGCTATAATTGTGGATTCCATGTTTGTGACTGGATTTCCACTCTTAGGCCATATTTTGTCCTAAAGCCTGAAGGATTTCCACTCTACACTCCAGGAGCCTTTATACAATTTTGTACTTTTAATAGGGAGACAACACGCCCCTGTTTGCCTGAGACTTTCCTTTTGTTAGTACTGAAAATTCCATATTCTGAGACACCCACTCAGGCTCAGGCAAAATGGGTCAGCTGGTCACCCTAATCTTTAGAGCTGATGGGAAGAGAGACCTTTGAGACGATGGGTAATGGTTGAAAAATCTTGAAGACTCTTACCAAAAAAAATTCTGCAATAAGATTTAAATTTTTTTAAAAATTCAGCAAATACATGAGAGCCTACTAAAGGCATAAGATACGGTTTTCAAATGCACAGAGCGTCAACCCCAAATGTACCTTGTGACAGATGCTGACAAGACGATGGGGAGCAAGAGAGAAACAATCCCTGACTTGACAGAACAAACAGGCAATTACACCAAGTATGGTAAGTGCTGTGGGGGCAGGGGGTGAACAATTGAGAGGTAGAAAAGTGGAGAAACATTTCTATGATTTTTCATAGCTCTGAGGGGGCGTGGCATTTCTTTTCTGATGAAAGTCATTTTAAGGTGTTTTTTCTCTTTTGAAATATTTTACTTGGCAAAACACCCAATCAGCATTCTTATAGTTCTTGTCATGCTGCAGAGCATTGTATTTAGGTTTCTATTATTCAAATCTTATATTAATGCCCAACTAGAAATTGGGTATTTTCCTTTTAGAGGGCATACGGACTTTAAAAATGTAAATCTAGGAATCAAGCCATTTTTAGCATATGTTTAAGTTAAAGTTTAAATCTGATTGAATACAAGCAGGACTCAAAATCCATATGGCTGAGCAAACAACTTGGAGTTGCAGCTGGTTTGTTCAAACAAGATAATCGGTCCCTTTGACTTATTTAGAACATACTTCAAATATTTAGTTTCTCAGTTCAAAGTGTTTCCACTGGAGTGTGGTTCATTTTTATGTCAGCATGATAAACTGCAACAATGGATTTATACTGTAGATGTTTTAATTTTTAGGAATGCACTTCACTATTTTGTTTTGTTTGAAGACTGGTCCTTCTCTGGGCTGTTTGCAGTGTAACAGTGTCACTGCATGGTGGGAAAGCACCACTGCAACATGTTTGTACATGTCATGAATATGTGGGTTGATCAATTCATTTCCTCACCTTCTCTTTTTAACACACTCACTATTTCAGAGCACAGAATTATGATGTGACTAGAGATTAACTTCTGAATAATTTTGTTATGAATTTTATCAAATTCATTAACTATTAGTTTTTTTTAATAGCATGTCATACTGAAGTTATATGATAAATGAAAGTCAATTCAAGGGAAAGAAGATTAACAACAGTAGCTGACTGTATATTGTTATGGCATCAAGACCCTGGAAAATCCTTGCTGTTTTACTAACTTGGGAGGGTAGGAAGAGGTGGGAGTGCAAGAAGAGTGGTTAATAATGGGAAGTGTTTCCTTTTGGTTCTTTATCAACTTTGTCTTCCAGACATACATGAAAAAACTGTCAAAGAATACCCTACAAGGGCTGTAGAGATGGTCAGAGATAGGAAATGGCCACAATCACTAAATAAACTTTCAAAATAACAGAATGATCATTTTGCTTGAAACCCTAAATGTATCATGAATTGCTAGACAGCACATTAAAAATGCCAAAGATGGAGACTAGTACAAAGCTATCTTGTCTTGTGATGGGGACTTTTCCTATCCAGGAATGCGGTTACATGGAAATACAAGAGTGCACCAACTCTTCAAAATCAATAGCTTCCTTCTCTGTAGAATCGCACCAAGTAATACATGCCACGCTACAACTTGCTGGAAAATTGGAATTATTTGGAAGCTAGCTGATAGTGAAGAGGGGAAAGTGTGGGAAAATAGTAGTTGGATTTTCATAGCAATGCAATGATTAATCCCAGAAGAAGGTTTCCAATTTTTCTGAGAAAAGCAACTGTTCATTTCATTAAAATGTAGTATATGTATGAGTCAATGAGCAAAGGCCATTAGAGGAGAAGGGGAGAAATCAGAGGTAGAGGGAGCTTGGTGACAGGAATCTGCCAAATAGGACATGAACTGTCAACTGCTGGTTGAGGTGAAGACCTGTAACCACATAGCTACTATCTCAGTTATTTTTTCTTCTGTTTGTCCATTCATTTATTTATTACTTCACTAATACTATCAACAATGTATTTACTGGATATCTACTAGGTACCAAGGATATTAAAAGTTCTTGCTTTTTTAAAAAAAAATCATATCCTATTTGGTAAGAAAGACATATAACAAAAAAAAGTGATACAACATAAGTGCTATGCTAGAGGTATACACAAGGTACCCATGGAAAAAGTAGAAGAAATGGACTAAAGCAGGATGACTACCATGAATAAATGAGAGGGCATGAAGATTTGTTGAAGTATTGTATTGCATTATATTTATCATATTATGTATATTACATTATATTACATTATATTCAGACTTCTTATAAAAAGTTCACTATTATCTTTAAAGGGCAAGAAATTGAGCCAGTAAAAAATTATTCTTTATCAAACAAAGATAATGAATTCTAATTATTCTTTTTCTATAGCACCTTATTCTTTTGTCTTTCTTCTATTTAGCACACTGGCAAATATATATTTATTTCCACATATACATCTCTCTCCTACTAGACTGTGAGCTCCATGCAGGCAGGAACCATGTCTATTTTCTTCAGCACTGTGCACCTAGTATCTAACACAAACTATAGGACATACTAGGAGCTTAACTATTTGTGGAAAGGATAAATAAGTGGACCTGAACATCACAAAAACACTGATGGATGCCTTCAGAAGTGAGATGTTCACCACCATCTCCCTGCTAGAAGGCAGATCAGGAGGCTGAATGGGTACCACCTGAAACCCTGGCTAAGGAAGAACAGGAAGATGCTAATGGCACTTGCAGGAAAGAGTGGCATACCCAAGAGCAGTGCTACTCATGGGTATAGGAGAGGTGTCACGAATTTTCCTTCATCGGACTGGATCTTTCTGATGGGATAGGCTTTCTTTTGGCTTACCTTTCATTCCCGGAGGGCCTGGTGTCCCTGGATCTCCCTGGAGGCCTCTTGGCCCAGGGCCTCCCATTTCTCCTGGGTGTCCCTTCAGCCCAGGCATCCCCTGATCACCTGAGGACAACAGGGAGGTTTTTTAGATACCTAGATGGTAAATGAATTACATTCTCTGGGAAAGTCATCTATTTTCTTAATATATGGGTAACCAGGAACATTGTTTTATTACTTTTTCTTTCTGTATGTCTTTTTTTTCTTTTGAGTGAGTGAATCAGAGTTTCACTCTTTCACCCAGGTTGGACTGTAGTGGCGTGCTCATGGCCACTCCAGTGTGACTCTCAGGCGATCTTTCCGCCTCAGGCCTCTAAGTAGTCAGAACTACAGGCACACGCTACCATGCTCAGCAAATTTTTTGATGTATTGTAGAGACGAGGTCTCACCAAGTTGCCCAGGCTGGTCTCAAACCCCTGGGCTCAGGCAATCCTCTCACCTCGGTCCCCCAAAGTGCTGGGATTACAGTCTTGAGCCCCTATATACCTTAACTCTAGGGAAAAAAAAATACACTTAACTTTAGGAGGAGAAAGTGCACTTCCAAATGAATGAAGTTACCAATTATAATTTTAAAGTGCCCCCCCCTTTCTGAATCAGCAAGAAAAGGAGCCATTAAAATACTGTGCTGTAATGACATCTACCTTAGTCTAAAGAAGAAGAAAAAAACTGTATCCTGATTGGCAGGTGAAATGAAGAGTGCTAGAAAGGAGCGGCTCTCTGTCAGATTGTCACTTTGTCCTGGCACCAGGCTAGACACTTTACAGGTGCTGCCTGAGTTAACTCCCAGTCATTTAGTGACACCCAGGAAATGGGACTAACTTTACAGTGGTGTGACCTGTCCAGTGTCACAGGTCTGGGAAATAGCAGATTCATATCTGAATCTAAGTACAGACTGGCTCATTCTGATATACCCAGAGATACAAGAGTAGTCAGGAAGTTTCTAGACTTCCTTTCAAGGTACCTGGACACCCTGGTGATCCAGAGGAGCCAGGCAGTCCTGGCCTTCCAGGTGGTCCATGGGGCCCTTGAACACCAGGCAAGCCCTGCTCTCCAGGGGCTCCAACATGTCCTAAAGAGGAAAAGATCAAACATCTGAGTAGTTGCCAATGGCTCTTACAGACAACAAATCTATAAAATCGCTAACTTAAGCCTTCACTATTCTTTCCTTTTTTTCTTTTTTAGAGACAAGTTCTCACTCTGTCACTCAGGCTGGGGTGTAGTGGCACAATCATAACTCACTGCAGCCTCCATTGCCTGGCTCAAGGAATCCTACTGCCTCAGCATCCTAAATAGCTAGAACTACAGGTGTGTGCTTCCATGCCTGGCTCATTTTTATTTTTTTATTTTTTTGTAGAAATGAGGTCTTGTTATGTTGCCCAAGTTAGTCTTGAACTCTTGGCCTCAAGCGTTCCTCCTGCCTCAGCCTCCCAAAGTGTTGGGATGACAGGTATAAGATACTGCATCTGACTTCACTATTCTTTTTTTTCCTGACTTTTTAATACTTAAATAGTTTTTATTGAAAATGAAGGCAACATTAAGAAAAAATTGAAAACAAAATGCCCACAATCCTACTACCTTCACGCAATTTTCCATATGTACACGTGTGCAAATAATAGCCACAAATTTATTTTAGTGTTATAAGTAATTTTCCAAGTTTGTCATAGTTTTTCTAATTATCCTTTAAGTGACTGGCTGATAATTTAAGTCAATCGTAATTAAATTAATCTAATTTCTCCTACTATTGGCCATTCAAGTTATTTCTAATTCTTTGCTATTATGCATAATGATCCCTATACATCTTTAATCAATCTTTCTCCTATTAAATTATTTCCTTATTAAAAATGTCTAGGAGTAGAATTTCTAGATGAATTGTATGATATTTTGTTTTTTTAAAGTGCATTTTAAAATGTTGAAGTATTTTAAAGTAAATTACAGTCATTGTGGAATTCTATTCCTAAATACTTCAGGTTATTCTGAAAAATAAGAACATTTTCCGCCGGGCTTGGTGGCTCAGCCTGTAATCCCATGCTTTGAGAGGCTGAGGTGAGTGGATTGCCTGAGCCCGCGGGTTCGAGACCTGCCTGGGCAACCTGGTGAGACCTCATCTTTACAATAAATCAAAAATTAGCCAGGCATAGTAGCGCGTGCCTGTAGTTCCAGCTACTTGGAAGGCTGAGGCGGAAGGATCTCTGGAGTCCAGCAGGTCGAGGCTGCGGTGGCCGGTAGCGGCTACTGCACTCCAGTCTGTGCGACAGAGTGAGACTCCAACTCAAAAAAAAAAAAAAGAACATTTTCCTATGTTGCAAAAATAACATTATTGCAGCCAAGAGAATTAACAGCAACTCTTAATATCATCTAGTGCTCATCCCATACTTAAATTCCCCAGTGCTCCCCTTAAAGTTCTTCACACTTGGTTTGTCTACACAAGGTTCCATTCCAGAATGCATCTAATGGCTATTCTCTTCAATTTTTTGAAAATCTAGGACAGTCCCTTTCTCATGACAGTGACTTGCTGAAGAGGGCAGTTTGGTTCTTTTCTAGGCTTCTAGAACATGCCATTCAACATTTGGTTTGTGATTCAGGTTGTCAGACAGTTTGGATTAAGGGTTGCACTGACTCAAACAACCATATGTAACCCAACCACAGCTCCGGGATCACCACTCCAAGAGCAGGCCATGTTCTTACTGAGCACTTTTTAGTTTGTTGACTTGTCTTCTTGCTAATTTAGTAAGGATGAAATCATATTTCTGACACTTTAAATTGCATCTCTTTGATAACTAGAGAGGATGGCTATTTTCCTATGTGTTTACTTGTAATGTATGGCTTAAACTCATGTTTATAGGATAAACCAATAATCTGTGCTGAAAATCACTGGTTGAATCTGCAAATAAATATATGCCTCTGTATTTATAAACACATAGGCTTAGTCATCATTTATTTGTAACACACATGAAACAAGCCTGTGTTGGTCTATACCTATTCTCCAGTCAAATTTAGTATCTATTAGCCTCATTATGTGTTATTTTATTTATCCTGAAAACATTCCTGCAGTAAAGGTAATGCAGTATTATTTTCATCTCCAAATGAAAAAAACTGAAGCATTAAAAAGACTTCTCTACCAGATCTGCGGGTTTGCATTAAGAACAGAACTTCTAAGTTAATCTGTGCTGTATTTTCTCGCTAACTGAAGGCAGCGTGGGTAGGACTATACAATCAAATATAATCCCTAGACAATCTGCAGATCTAAGTCTCTCTTTAGGCTTATTCAAATTCAGTGCAGCTTTTCCCGGTCAGTAGAAATAGCGTATTTAAGTAAACTCCATGCTGATGAGTAACATATAATATCATTTAAAATGTGTAAGCTGAAACCATGACATATGGGAAAGGGAACAGTTTAAATGGTGAACGACAGGAGACAAGGCGAATTAGGCCAAGGCAACTTTTCTGGATCAGCCTAAGTGTAAAATCATTCAGGTTTATGATTTTTTTTAATCAATATTTTTTATTTTAAAATTGTGGAGTACAGTTAAGGGTTAGGTATACAAATATGCATCATTCAGGCACCCTTGTTGATAAGGGGTGTCTCCCCATTCCCAGGTTTATGATTTTTAACTTAAAATATTAGGGAACATCAAAAGCCCCCATTTTGGATTACTTTGAGCTTATAAAATCTTACTATCAGCCAGGCTCGGTGGCTCAGCCTGTAATCTCGCGCCTTTGGGAGGCTGAGGTGAGTGGATTGCCTGAGCCCGCGGGTTCAAGACCCGCCTGGGCAGCGAGATCTCATCTCTACAATAAATCAAATAATCAGCTGGGCATGGTAGCGCATGCCTGTAATTCCGGCTACTTGGAAGGCTGAGGCGGAAGGATCGCCAGAGCCCCAGCAGGTCGAGGCTGCGGTGGCCAGGAGCGGCCACTGCACTCCAGTCTGGGCGACAGAGTGAGACTCCAACTCAAAAAAAAAAAAAAAAAAATCTTACTATCTTCAAGGTTCACATAAAAATACCAATAAATGTGTAAAAATGTCATTTTGCTGACTGATGATGATACTGATAACAAAGATGGTGATGATGATTATTGAACATTTGTATAGTCATTTTCAGTTTACTGATTTCTCTTATTTGATCCTCAGAACAATCTTGTAATAGGCATAAGACCCATTTACAGGTGAGAAAACAGATACTCAGAGGAGATACTCAACTTGCCCAAGACTATAAGCAATAGTAATGGAGGTTGACTTTGAGCCACTGTTTCTGAGACTTCTAGCTTTGGTATTTGTTGTGAATTCCCATAATGCTGACCTCAAAACTATTTTCCCATCAAGTGTTCACTTCAGTTATATATTTCGTTCAACTATTAGGCTATCTAAATATACTTGGGTCTCAGAGTTCAAGACCCATAGGAAAGAAGAAGGGAAGAAGAGAGGAAAGGAACTTTTAGCCACTGTGCTAGCTTGTTTCCATTTCCAATCTTATGCTATAAAAACAAAGAAAAAAGAATTTCTTATGATAGTTCTGCTCAGATATTTTTTCTGTTATATAAAATGAAACGTGGCTATTGCCAGAGAGAATTTTAAGGTAATGCACAAAATTATGAATACAAGGCTCCATCAAAATACAAACCTGATTTCTAACTTGACCACTATTGCTGAATGGCCCTGGGCAAAACTTACATAACCTGCTATCTGTGGATGGATGTTTGTTCTAACCATACAACACTTGTTCCTGCGGTGCATCTTTGTACACTTGTCTGATTATTGACTCCAGATAAATTACTAAGAGTAGAATTCCTGAATCAAGGGGTACACATATTTTAAGTGTTGATGCGTGTTTCCATTGCCTCCAGGAAGGGAGAACCTACAACATTTTCTGAAAGAGAAACATGAGTGTGAGTGCAGAGCAATGGAGTCAAATGTTTTAAGGCTGCTTTTTCCTCTTAAGGGTCCCATCCTCTTGACTTGAACTCAAATGATTTCCTTTCCCTGTGAAGCATAGAGCTGTGCACAACAATGACACCTCCCTTCTGCTTTGGGTCGTCTAATATAGCTGGTCATGACCTCAATGGTCTACAAGAACTCAGTGGCACATCACAACCCATTCTGAGGGATTCCATGTGAGCTGTTACTGAGAAACAATATTATGGATTTGAATGACATGGATTAATTGTTGATGATGAGGTTTTATGGGTGCTTGGTTTGGTTTGGTTTTTAGTAAATTTGAGTAGATTCAATGATAGCTCAACAATGGCACACCTCACTTGCATTTGTATAGTTTTCTCAGCAGAAAGAAAGGGCTGGAAGGACAACCTAAGGCTGTAACCAATGTCGCTATAAGTAGCAATGGTTAATGTCTTGTTTTAAATTATAGAGATTGCAAAATAGTTCAAATTTTAATTGTTTCCGATTTTCACTTTCAACTTTGTCAAAATCTGAACACACCTAGGAGAGTTTATTGTTGTGTCAATATTATCAATCACATAAGCCACAGTGGAAATAAGATTGAGAATCCCAGGTGTATAATCCTGGGGTTCTTCTAGGCCAGATGTGAAGGGGATTAGAAAATATTGATACAATGATTGCTAGCTAGAAGGATACAGTAATTGTTCTAATTTTCAAACAAAACTATTCATTTTGCTTTCATAAGAAAAATATGTAACTATACCTTGACATCCAGGGCTACCTGGCTCACCCTTTGGACCAGGTGGACCAAAGTGACTGGCAGGGTCACCTTTCTTTCCTGTAAGTGATAAAATGCATGTAACATTATTTAAGAAAATTTAATTTGGTCTCATACAAGTGACTTAATAACGTTCATATTTGTCTTTACAGTCTATCTTCAAATATTTTGGGAGAATATTTTAAAATTCTTTTTTCATCAATAAGAATAGAAATATAGATGAAAGATGTGATTCAAACAACACACACACACACACACACACACACACACACACACAATTGCTAAGAATGATAAAATTGTAAGATACCACGTCTTGATAAGTTTGAGTTTTTAAGTCCCTAAGAAATTTTTCAAATTTAGATTTCTATTTAAGAAATTACTAGGCAACCCCTTCGGGTCCCCTCCCACTGTGGTAGCTTTTCTGTCCTCCCAGTAAATCTTGCTTTCTCAAAAAAAAAAAAAAGAAAGAAAGAAAGAAAAGAAAAAGAAATTACTTGCCATTGAGTGGCTCTCTTCTTATATTGTTTTTGAAGCAATAACCCTCATTTGTACCTTACATTTTTAAAATAAAATATATATATATATATATA